TCGTGCCGGCCCAGCGGTTTCCCAAACTTGGGACGAGAAAACCGGCGAAGCTTCCAAACCCGCAGGGCCCGCCGGGTGTCGGCTTCCGGCCCTTGGTTGGAGCCAGGGGAAGGGGTTTGAGAGCCTGAAATTGGAGCCGATGAGGCAAGGCTGAAATTCTCTCGACTTTACCGGCTCGATGGTAAAGAGTCTATTTGGAGATTGGCATTGGACACTTTCACAAAAATAAGCACGGGACCAGAAGGAGGCCGTTTGCGAGCCATTTTTTTGGGTTTGGCGCTATGTATCAAAGGGCCTGCTTTCAGGTTCCATTGGCCTCTGCATGGTTGCGTGAATTATTCCTGACGGCCGGTAAAAACCACATCACGAAAAACATATTAAGAGCTATGTACAGAAACCAGGAGGGCATTCGAGCGTTGGGGAGCATTGGTCAACACCAATAGAGTCCGCCTTTAGACTTCGGGACCTCCAAGATCGCCGGTTTCTTTGAAAGCTCCATTAGATTTCACAATCCACAACCAAAATCCGAGAGTCGTATACCCTCCACACAAGTCCATACCAAATATGGTCTTTTGGGCATGGCGGCATGGGTGTGGGTGCCTGGCAGGTCCCGCAAGTGCTGGTAGCATTGTTCAGCTCTCCCAAAAGAGCACACCTTCACGCCACCAGGTAGACGCGACATGTCGAAAAATATTGGAAGGCATTTGGGTGTAAGATTGCCGGGTTTTGGGCACTGGGGTTTTCTCCGGCCAGGTCTTTCAGTGGCTGCAGTCGCAGAGAGATTGGTACCTGAAAGAGTGACCACGCGCCGCCAGTATGCGATTCTGGCGCCTGTTTGTCAGGTCATTGACAAGCTTCTCAGTTCAGCCTTGACCGCGCCCACACGCCCACGCCTCCCATGTTCTCCATTGGTTTCGTCTAAGTCAGGCCAGGAGACTTGATGCACGTGTGCCTTGATTGCTTCCTCCCCCGAAAAAGGCAGAGGCTATATTCCTTGCCTGTTTGTTTTCGTTTTCGGGTCACGGACTCATGTTGGGAACACTTGTTTGTAATCATTTGTTAACCACTAATTGACGGTATTGGACAGAGCATGGTTAGCTATGCACTTAATTCTAGGTGAATTCACCCGATGCTTTAGCAATAATCACGTATTTGTGAAACAAACGCATTATTATCCAACTGATTCTTATCCTTTTGTTGATTGTCGTTCTCCATGTTGTGCATTTGGTTTGAGGAGAACTCAACCGACCATTGGCTTCTTGAACTTGATATGGAGATACTTGGGTCAGACTGTAGGATCAAGTGGCAGAACTGATTGGACACGGACAATGTGCTCCTCAGGAATCAGGAAGGCACCTCCTTTCGCGAGCCTTCTTGTTTTCTAGCCTGACCAGGCTAGCCAAGAGTCTAGTGAGAGTGACGTTTGCGGCACAGAGCTCAGAGGACGGGGTGGCACAAATATGGCTTGGCCCACGGCTGCTTTCTTTCTATGCCAAGCTATGCTTGTTGGGTTATTTGAAGCTTCCAAAGCGTTCAGTTTTAACAAGGGCTACCTGTATGTGCGGACACGCCCCCTGTAGGCGCCCCAGGCCCTCAGAGGGAACCACGAAACACGTTCTTCGTCGCGTCGCGTTGCGCCGTTTGTGCCCGAATGGGCTTAAGGCAATCTTGGCGAATGGCATGGCAGAGTTTGAATTGATCTCCGGTTCACCCTTGCGCGGTGTGTATTCTCAGTTGGACCCGGAAAGGGTGACATCATGTGCCGCCCTTGAAGGGGGTCAACACCTAGAATGTGTCGCCGTTTAGGTCAACCCAGGCGCTAAGTGCGTGAAGGATGCAAGAGGTATACTGGTTCCCGTCGCCACAACTGCGTTTGTGTTTAAAAAGACCCAGGTACCCCATGCTTTGCCAAGAGACTCGCATGGCCTGCACCTCCAAGAGGCTCCTCGGGCTCCTCGAGCTCCTCCAATGGGAACCCTATGTGGATGGTTCCCCTTTGAGCTTACAGCTTCTGCTCTTGTTTTTGTTTTCCACTCCCCGCAATGATCAGCCCCAAAGAGTTCCCTTTCCTTACTGGGCATGGAAATCGCTTGGATCACTACTTTCCGTTCAGGCGTCTTCATTTGTGTGTTTTCATGTCTGCATTGTTGTTTCTTTCTTGTGCTGTTCACTAGTACTCGGGTTGAACTTAAAATGCTGCGCATAGAGTATCCCACGCAGGTTTGCTTGAACAACAATGTCAATGTGCTTGTTCTCCCTTGGCCAGCGGAAGGCAAGACGCGTCTGAGAGCTTGCAAGATCTTGCAAGAGTGGTGTTTGTTCCCTCGTTGTGTTGTTTTGTCCAGGAGAGAGGCGTTCCCTTCGGATGTATCCGGGCCGAGACTTTGGGGTGCCCATTGTGAGGAAGCCGTTTCAATGGGATCTCATAGCGGAGATTCCGCGGCGAGGCAAAAGTGGCCCCTTTCAAATCCAAGGCGTTTGCCTGGTGTTTTCCGCGAAATTTTGCGTGTGTTTCTCTGTCACGGTATGTCCAACAGACAACCCGTGCAGGTGCTTGGTTTCCTTCTGGTTTTCCGTTCGAAGTCTCCCTTGAGACTGATGTGGGTAATTACCCCTGGTCCACCCCAACTCTTCCAATAAGAGCATTCATGCGGAACAGGAAGATCCGTTCCAGAGACCTGCCAACAGATGAAGCTGCGGATGTTCAACTCTGCAGCTCCCAGCTAACATCTTCAACTACATCCTCTTCAAGTGGTGGGTGAAAAGGGGAACCAAGACATGTTCTGACTTTGGTCCCTGGCAACCCCACAAGTAATTAACATTCAAACAGTTGAACAACTGGCTTCTCCTGAACCGCAAAGCAGATGGCATGTGTTTGTTCCTAACCCCTTGGTTACCACTTGAGTTTGTCATCCACCCCCCAAATCCCCGCACCCCAAACCCTACTTGTCACGTTGGCTAGTTGTTACCTATTGGTCGTTTTTGTCAGTGGGGTCCAACACGTCGTGCTGGCATGTGTCTAT